TTTTTTCAACCTTGAGCACGAAGGTCACTACTCACGGCACCAATCTTCGGGAACAACCGTAAACTCGGAGGACAAGTTGAGTTTGTCCCATGGATGAGACTTTACATTGATGAAATGAAAATGCCAATTCTTACCATATTAATAAGGTTTGTCCCAAAAAATAGAAGACCTGAACAATGCCTCCGAAGGACCGTAAAATTTGGGAATAATTTTTCCGTTGGACGGGCAATCACTCCACAATCGTAACTACGAGGAGGTCTATCAGACGTCCTTTCTTACTGCCAGCGTATAACAGGGAGTCAGTACAGCATTGTTTTTTTTTCAACTTTTTAATGTCTTTTTCACTATCAGGGACAGCACACAATTTCTGAGATAGAAAACTGGCCCGTAGACTACAAGTCCCCAGAACCTTCATACAGATGACAACTTGAGCGTTTACGCGGTGAATCCTGGCGCCAAATCGCCAGCAACGACATCTCCGATCCGGAGACTTGGAAACGCGCGAATATGGGGTAAAAACAGGCATATAATTCTAACTTATTTCCTACTCGAGGTGCTTTATGAATACAGATAGTGGAGTGCTATTTTTTAATGAGAACCCCCGTTAGTTATACATCATTATCCAAAAGACGGGTTAAAACGTCTGCCCTTCTACGTTGGGAGACGTCTCCTCTATGCAATGCGCTGTATTGCAGCCTCGGCGTGTCAAGAACTTTCGGTCGCATCAAAGAAACTATCGACACAAGGGAGGCGAACTAACACCTGTAAACACCAATAAAAAAATAGACGGTCATATATTAGAGAGAGAGAGAGAGCCCTAAGAGAGTGGATCCTTAGATGGATGGGGCATTGTGACTTGTTTTGTGTGGCTGTTAACCACAGTTCGGCTGGAAGGCACAAACTTTCGACTGTTCATGAAAGTCCAGATAGCAAAGGTGAATGAGCGTTATTCACGTTTGATAGTTTCTCTTAGTTCTCAGCTATTATTGTCAAAGAGTTATTAACCACACTAGCGTAAATGTCCTGGATAAAACAACATATCCAAGAGCTTAATGCTCTTAGATATGACGGACATGTTATGGGAATTGTGTGGCACGGTCATACCATGCATCCTTATGAGAAAAGCTACTATCAGTAACGAATTTTGGTTTCTTCACTGATGTGCCCCAGTACTTTGCCGAAAACTATCTACACAACATCGGGCTCGACGGATGATTTTCTTGGAATTTCATAGCTACAGTTGGCTAACTAGGAGTCCTAGTTACAGACTTTCCAAATTAACCCTCCAATCATGGCTAAGGTTGAATCATGCAATTTACAATCCACCAGAATGATGACGTGACGACTATTAGTTACGGATAGTTCAAGGAACAAATGTCAGGTGTGAACAAGTAGTTTCACCGCTCAATCCAAACTAATTTGTAGGCCGAATCGATCACGTGAGGAGAGAGGCCAAACACCATCAAAACTTGATGCATTGCAACCATTCTTCAACACCAGTGCGCCTGAAAACGAACATCTGACAGTTGTTTATCATGGTAAATTGTTTGCCAGGTGCCCTGTAGATCGCAACTGAACTGGTCATCGGTTGAGGAATAAAAGTACAAAACAGAAACACATGGGTGTGATCAGTAGCAAAACTGTGATTACTAGTGCGCAGCGGCTTTCGAGAAGAGGAATGACCCGTCCAGTAATTTAGCCAACCCAGTTTTGACAAAGAGCTGGAGCGAAAATATTTGGCTCAGTGTGATTTACAATTGCGGTCAGACACCAATCTAGGCCATCCGGAATGCTTTTAGGAGCAGCATCACCAGCTGTGGTATACAAAAAACAAACAAATGTATGCTATGCGTTCAAATGACAACGTTGCAAAGTAGTCTACATTGGAAGCATCATTTTCTGTAGCCTCCCTGAGTCCACTGCAAACATTCGCTTGTGGTTGGTTTACAGAACGCAAAGCCGGAGATTAAACCATCCGTGAATGAGGTAAACATTACTTTTAATAAGATGAAGGAATCAGACAGCGAATTGTAAATCACCGACAAAAGTCCCTATTGCCGAGTAGGGAAGCCCACAACGTAGACTGCTTGACTTCTTCTAGTTAACACGACGGAGTTTGTGTGTTATCCAGTAGCAGGTCTGAAGTCAGACCAGATATTACTGACAAGTCTTCCGTTTATCTCACTATAGAGTCACCCGCCGAACTAGCTCTTCGGTTGGCAGTTCTAGAGTGTAGGGTTCAGGTCCCCAAACGGGTGGTTAATCTTGTTTAAAAATTGAGCTGGTTTTGTTGTAATGAGTACGGGATAGGAGTTCCAGTTGAATACTTAAAAACTTTCTTTTTCACTGGCTCACTGTGAAACCGAAAACTTTCTCTATTGCAGCATACAATCTTTGGTGACGCCAGTCACGATGAACCAGTCTATTATCAAACCATTGGCCACATAGCGGACACTAATACCTCGAAAGTGCAACAGGTCACTCTTTTGGGTCAGCCTTTTGAGTCCACCTCGCAGCGCCATATGTTGATCAAAGACACGCCAGTCAAGAAGAGCGAAAGCCATTTCCCGAGTTTCATTTCTCGTGATGATTAGCATGGTTGACAAATGAGATTTGTCCTTGTTCCTAACCTCAGATAACAGTTGTGTATCGCTTGAATTTCACTCCGTGATCACCTCCTACTGAAAACGTAGAAAGACAGTGACCATCATAGACTTCAGGTAGCAGTCATATCACATATCCAGTCCTAAATACAGTACCGAGCACTACAGTATAAACTGCAAACACGCAAGCGTAAAGACCGCATCCTAGTTTCAGACATACTTCGTTTGAGATCCAGGTACATGTGCCCAAACTTAGCAAACGCGACCGAGCCTTAAATATTAGTGCATTCACTTCATCCGTGACGATTCGATCAGAACTTCCAAGATATGTTGGAAGTTCTATAGCGCCAATTTACTGACCGGAAGGTCCATGGTTCGAACCCGACCTCTGCATCTCGACTTCCCCTGTCTAGGCTTGGGCAACCTGGTATTATCTCAACCCTCGTGTTTCTTTTGGGTATATTGTCAGCTGGGTACTTAAAGGCTGTTACAGCCGAACGATTATCTCTTATTTGATCAAACCACTCTGAAATTTCGAGTGCCTCTCCTTGCATTGCGAGCGGCATGTTCAGTGACTGTGTGTCCATGAGCATACCCTCATACTTTGTACATGCATTGCATATGCCAAAGGAAGTGAAGCCTTTAAATGGTTCCCATTTCCTCTTCAAAGATGGAAACGATTTCGTCTGCATATTCCGCTCAGTAAGGCCTTCGTCAACACTTATATGAAAGAGTTTCGAAGGCCTCCCAATATTCGCCTGATTACCTCATCGATCCCGAAAACGATTACGAATGGAGAGAATGGGTAGCTATGTCAGACACCACTTGTTGTATAGAACTTTTTAGAGAACTCCCTGCATAATTTCACGAGCGCGCAAATCTGTGAATGCAAAGATCCTGAGCAAGCGTGTAAGTGAAAACAGACCGGTGAAAAGCTCCTTGGAAATCGGGGTATACCACGAAGTGTGGGTCGTTTACATGTTTCACGCTGTTCTGTCACCTGTCGGAGCGGGAAGATGTGGTAAACACAACCTCTACACTGGCTGCTCTCAAGCTAGTGTTCACGGAGAACTCTAAGGCGATAGATGATAAGTCAAGCCAAGGGTCTCGTTATAAATGAGATCAATTTGATTTGTCTCTGAGTGTCGCACTGAGTAAGGACACCTCTTCTCAAAACTGGCATCATGATCCACTCTCTCTAGATTTACTGGACAATAACTTGTCCTAAGTGAGAGAAAACAGATCAGATAAACACCGACTGATGGCTTCAATTCCATCTCTGAACAATCCGAGTGTGGGCTATCCGGTTCAGTGGAACCTGAGGGAACATATACAGCCCCAAATCTCTGAGGGATTATGGATGTTTCAGGTTCATTCTCCAGGGTTCTGATTCAGTTCGAAAATCCAAATGAGTAGCATTAGTGACCAGCAGAATTGTTTAACTGCCCGACCCAACTGTTGAGTAGTCTTTACTGAAGATCATCGCGCCAGTTCGATCCACTACAGTTTCTTCCAGAAGCTGTCTTTGGGTACCACTCGCATGATCAGTCCAAATTACCTTCCCTATTCCGCATTCTTATCCTCTCATTTTCCTTAGCGCTCCACACTCACACTGAGTTTTACTTGACGTACGATAATTTGCAGGGCTGAATTACATCCGGAACTTGGGGTACCTTTTCCTCGAAATTCAGGGTGCGCGACTGTTTTGTCTGATAGTCATTGCTTGGATGGAACTGGCATTGCCGTACCACAGGTGAAACCCTCCAGCAGTGAGCAAAGATGTGGTCATGTTCCGGTGCGGACTGGGATCCGACGGCGAAGTCGTCATGGAGAAGTCACGGAGACGGTCCTGATTAATTCGTTTAACTTCAGTCCATCAGTTGCTAAACGAGTTCCCCGTTCCTTAGATGGCCTTCAAGAGTGAAAGGTGAAGCGATTCCAGAATAGTGCATGTTTGGAATCCAGGAAAAGGTGTAGTTGGTAATTGACCAACACCACCAGGAATTGGTGACACAATCAATTTCGGTCCATGGCTGGCAAGCTGTTTCTGGACGCCAAGGGGCCAGGCGATTTCGGACATAACAACAGTCAGCGGTCAGCATACAGCTGGAGCAGCCCTAACGCATTCACTCCAAGTCGACTACACGATTGATTCTCAGACGCATTAAGACTGTCCACTTGTGCATTCAAATCTCTGGTAACCACAATGGTGTCTGAGATATTAGCTCGCTGAAACAGAGTACCAAAGGCGTTATAACAGTCATCTTTCATGATGTCACAGGTGCACGCTATTGGGACAAAAGCAGGCACTGTAAACAGTCACTGATCAACTTCTCGTTTGTAAGATTCTTCCACAAGCCAGGCGAAAGGCACAGACTACAACCAACTGACACCCAGTCAAGCAAACAGCTTTCCGGTCAGTGACTTAAAACGATGCCAACAATACACAGGTTTTTGGATCGTCAGAGTTGCGGAGCTGAAACCGAGTGGGGAGTTATGGGGCAGTTGACTCGGTGACCGTTTTTGGATCTTGAGCACTTGTTTCTGACACGCAGCATACATCAACTTCAAGCGAATCCAGTGTGTCTGAATCCAGAGTCGTACCCAAACAAAAGGTGATGGTCACTGATTCAGCATAATCTAAATTTCTAAGCAGATCTATCTATGCAACAGTCCCCACTTTATCGGTCATTTTGCAATCCAGTATATGAGTGAATCCCTGTGACAAAGTCAAAACTATGAAGGCACTTTTTTGGTTGTTAGCGCGTTGACCAAACTTCATAATGACACCACTTCACACTCCTAGAGGAGCAAAAACTGGATTTCAGTTTGTCACAAGTGTAAGAACACGAAGACGATCAGGGTAGGATGAATACAATGTACAATGGAAGACTGCTTCAAAACACAACGGCCTTTGTTTCAAAGACCAGCAACACCTCTAGCTAGTATTTTGGAACTCAACACCTGTTTATGTTTGGTTCTTGATATGGCTAGCTTTTCACTGATTCAGGCAACCGACCGACTGAAACTGAATGCCAGATAGTTTCATGTGGTTGATCAGTGATCCTCGCAACGGACCTGATTCTAACCAGGCCATGGGTTTGGAACTTTAACCGGGTATTTTCAGTTACATGTGTGGCACGATCCTGGAACTGAGCTGACCACATTTATACCTCAGATCCCAACACAAAACTTGGGATGATTTTCCTGACCACCATCAGTCTGAAAGACCTTTAAAGAAAACGGAAGTAATGACGTTTCCCTAGCTTACGATTCTCTGTACAGGAGCTAGGAGTATTCATGTAGTGTCAAAACGTTAATTGACCACGTCTCCATCAGGTAGGCTTTATCCATAGGAATATCTGTCTACATTCAAACCTACGCAGCGAGTCAAAATCGGTTCAGGACTCCTTAGTTTAACCAACTACATGGGTTGCACAAGTTCAGTGGGTAAACCATGCTACATCTGACAATGACCAGTTCTGCTGCCCCAAGAAATTCAAGAAATTAAATGAGGTTTTCACCGCAAGACCTATTAACTGTGAAAACACGGTGTGGTGAACCTCGAGAGGACTGCTCAATCGTGCCCCTATTGGGAGGATCACAGTCGAACTACCCGATTAGTACTAACATCAAAGAAGCGAATCATACTCATTTGCATACTGAGTTGGTGTTAAAGAGAGGAATAAATCCGAACACTACCCGTAAGTTGAAACAGTGGCGTGGTCCGCCATTAAAACGCATCTCTCACCGTCCTTGGTGGTCTTCTCGTTAGTGATGTTTTTCAAACCAATTAAACAAAATACTTCTTTCCACGAGATGTTTTGTTCACTGTGAATGAATGCCAGTTTAAGGTTAGTTTGTCGAATTCGCTCCAAATCTACCTAGCGGACTAACCAAAATCAGCCAGAAAAGGAACGACTTCGCATCAAAAATCAGCCGCCATAACTATCAAATAAGCTTTAAATTCACTGTTGAACGCTAGTCTCGATCCAAGCAAAGTAACCTGTTAGAGTAGCGCCAATCATCCAAATGTTACAAACTCCCGCAAAATTTTCCAATCTTTTCCCTTATGTACAGGTTACGAATTCACCTAATGGAGTTCCGTACACAAAGAGACTGCCAGTAAAGCAAACTTTCTCCCTACTACTTGCAAGTAGTTAAACATGTTGACGAAAATAATCTACCAAGAGATGTTGACGGTGTGTGCTGTCATACCAGTTTAAGGTTAGTTTGTCGAATTCGCTCCAAATCTACCTAGCGGACTAACCAAAATCAGCCAGAAAAGGAACGACTTCGCATCAAAAATCAGCCGCCATAACTATCAAATAAGCTTTAAATTCACTGTTGAACGCTAGTCTCGATCCAAGCAAAGTAACCTGTTAGAGTAGCGCCAATCATCCAAATGTTACAAACTCCCGCAAAATTTTCCAATCTTTTCCCTTATATACAGGTTACGAATTCACCTAATGGAGTTCCGTACACAAAGAGACTGCCAGTAAAGCAAACTTTCTCCCTACTACTTGCAAGTAGTTAAACATGTCGACGAAAATAATCTACCAAGAGATGTTGACGGTGTGACGCTGCTGTCATATTTCTACCCGCTAGTTGGCATGCACTCGGTTGAACTGCAGCCAGTTTTCATGATTCCCCGAAACCCTAATGACTCCACACACTAACTAAAATAAATCGCTTATACTATTAAGGCGCCATCAGCCGAATACGAGTTGGAATTCCCACAATAAAAGAGTAGCTGAGTAAAACAGGAGAGTGGTCATCCCCAGGAGGATACGGAGGCAGAAGGGTTGATGCGTTTGGTTTCACTGTGTGTGTGTGTGTGTGTATTCGGCTGCGGAAGAATACGGCTCCTAAGATCCGATAGTCAGGCGAATATCCACTACTTTGTGATACTTACGTTTTGCTTCACTAAAAAATAAAACTATGATGAACCTTGCAGATGAATCTGTTCCACAAATACGAAGTTCGACGCACATATCGCTTACGGACGTGACGCACGAAACTATAGATCACATACTTGAGAAAGTAATGTAAGAACTACAGGATACAGTTTCTCAACGGTTACCTCAGTGGGATAGTAGACGTGGTATGGCTGTGAGACTTAGCCTATTCGAGCAGCGGAACTGAGACGTCTTCAGGTGTTCGACAATCGCTGTCTCAGAACCATAGCTCGCGTGGGTTGGTGTCGGCGAATCCGTAACGAGGCAGTTAGAAA